ATATATAATTAATGACAATAATTCTTTTGCTCAAGTTTGCTTAATTTCATGCAGATGTTTTAAAATTATTTATTTCCATATCTTTCATTATTCTTCTGCAGATTATTATTATAGAATATTACAATTACAGAATTGATATATTTACTACTTACATGTTACATTATTTATATAATATAGTATTTTAGATTTATATATAATGTTTGTATATATATGTGTGTGTGTGTGTGTACGTACTTTGCATGTATTTATGGAGAGATATGCTACTAAACAATAATGTATTTATATTTTGGAAGTGTCTTTTTTTCACCCATATTGCATTTAGAACCACAGTAGCCAAATATGACACTGATATGGTGATAATTATTTTCAATTAGTACAATAACTATATTTGTTAATCGATCTACGATTTCATTGGCTAAATTTAGATCAGAGTGAAATAATACCAGGTCATGTGGTTTTTGACCTTTATTCGACATAACATTTTTATGATATATACACAGCTGGATCATTGCACGGTCAACTGTGGAGTAGTAAAACGAAAGCTTTGAACAATAGAGATGAATAAAGTGTGATAAAGAAAACACGTCATATATCTGCTCTTTTACTATTACATATAAATTTTTACTTGGACCTAGTAATAACCCGACTATTTCGTCGAGCGATATAATTAACTTTCGCTTCGTACTTTAAAATAAAGATTATATATTATATAAACCATTATATCTTAAGATGTAACATAAATGTGATATCACTAAATGATATAAAATTACGCAGCAGGGGCAACTTTAGGAATGTTAAAGGTAAGACGTATTACAAAATTAATATTTGTTTTTCTTCGTTTTCTGCCATGTCTCATGTATTGATCTTGATGCATCAATGTAGCACTTTATACACGCAACATAAATATTAAAAAAAAACATGAATGTTTAACAGAGATACAACATGGCTTTGTCATTTTCTAGAAGTATTGCGATCTAATTTATCTTAATACTTGCACAATTTAGGCATAGTTTGTAACAAGCTATATAATGATTAACGATTAATAATTTCAAATAAGATACTATGCACACATACTATATGAAGTCAAAACGAGTAGAAAATACTACTAAAACATATGTACGACGTAATAGAGACGATCTCGTGGGTGTATTATACTTTGTTCCAATTCTTAAATATCTTTATATATCTCCAACTCTAAATCATAACTGTCTTCACTTGCATAGTGAATAACAAAAGGTCGAAAGCATGATACATACGAAGATCGGACGAAAATTCAAACTATTTTATATATTTCAATACATTAGTAAAATAATAAGATCTTACCATCAATTTCAGTATCTATAATTATTTGTTTTTGTGTCGTTCGTTTATGCAAATTAAATTAACTGCGAATATGTACCTCTATTCAAGCAAATATACATACAAGTAGATCTAGAACGATGTTTATGTACTATAGACGCCAACATATTCTGAAATGTCTACAGATTTTCTCCATTTTTTGAAGGATCTCGTCTCATTACAATATTGATATACATGATCTATCCAATCTAAAAGATACTCTTGTTACAGTTTTGGGAGGACACTCTTCATTTTTATCATGATTTACCACACGCTACGATATTTCTAAAATGTATATTTCTTACAATGAGCTATTACATATTTGCAAGATACAAAAAAAAAAAGAGATTAACTTTTAAAGCTGAAAACTTCTTGATATAGATGAGGATATTTGAATCAAATCGAAAAAAAAAAAAAAAAAAAAAATTTTTGCTGAATAAAAAGCAGTGTGTAATTTGTAGTTATGGAAATCGTGATTTAAAAATCTACAGTTGATTTTGTTTCATCTAGAATTCGATATCACCGAAAAAAGCTTGCTTCTCATTAATAGCCAAAAGAAAGGCACATAGACGCACGTATATGTGTGCGAGCAAAGAGAAAAACTATATCCTGCTTACACACAATGTACATACATATAATGTATACTTTTTTATACTCCGACTGTGCAATAATAATTAAATTAAAATCTCAGCATCACATTGAAAAAAAAAGAAAAAAAGTAACTTTCCTTTTATTTTTTTTTTTAAATAATATTGTTTTCACACAAGATCTCTCTGTTTAAATAACAATAATTTGAACCATGAAATATGATAGTTTTACTCCTTGACGTCTCTTTCACAAATAACAATAATTCACATTTAGATAGCGTGTGATAGCCTTCTCCTCTCTCTAATATATTTCGTTATTATTTGTTACATTATTTGTATTCATGATCTCTAAACGTGGCAATTTCTTTGTGTTTCTAATGATATTATAATTCGTATTCGCGCTTTATTGATACGATATATTAATAAGCTAACCAAACAATATATCTCATTCTACCTAAACTTTATAGAAAAGTAGACTTTGTTGATCTGTCCTGTTAAATGTATTTCACATACCGTAACCTTGATAGGCTGCGGTGGACGCGTACACTTGTGCGGGTGTACCGTATACGTTTTGAGGTGCATAGCCGGGTGCCATCATTCCAGGCCCTGCAGTCAACATTAGCTGAGGTTCCGCTGTGGCCATGACAATCATATGCAACAGAGAAAAATATCGTTAATATAGGAAACAATATATTGTTCCCTCAAGCGCAATATTTATGAAATTATTGCAAAATTACTTACGCATAATCATAGGCTTATGTTCCTGATGATCAGTTTCTTCGATGCGTCGACTTTCGGACTCTTCTAATTTATCGACCTACATCCAATATATTGAATATTATATGAATAATGTCAGTGTGCATGATATAAAGAATTAAATGTATGGCTGGACAATATTTTTGTTTACCTTAGTGATATATTCCCGTGCAACTTGTATAAGATACGGCATCGCGAAATGTAAAATACGATGTCTCCAAGCGAGTTCTAAGATAACATCCGGATGAAGTAAATCGTAGCAATGAAACAGGCATGCTGCAAAGCAGTCCTTTGAACCTCTCTCTAAGAACCACTCGAGCAATTCCTCAGCAACTTCTGCATTCCGAGATTCCGCAGCATATTCCATAGCATCCCTGTTATTAAATTAGCGATTAAAAGAGATCATACATTTGTATATATAAATATTCTTCAACAGATAACCATGCAACGTTACCTGAAGAGTCGGTCCTTCTTGCAAAGTTCTACAGACTGCTTCCATCTATTATTTCCCTTGTACAAATATGCGGCGATTCTCCTGAACTCGATCAATTCATGTTTCTCGAGCTGCTGCGCTAATGCGATATTATCAAAATTATCGAACGCGTCGATCGACGTTCGGAGACCCTGGTAATCCTCTTCATCAATCAACAAGCCATTCAACGCTTCATTGATAGCTTTGTTGTTGAGAGCTTGAACTGATCTCAAGTACGGTTTCACTAGTTGCAAATGACCGGTTCTCGTAAAGTACGCCACTGATCTAGTATGATCCATACGCGGAGCAAGCACGAGCAGAATATCGTTTAAAAGAAGGGGTTTATATTCCACGTAGAACTGTATAGCCTTATAGTAGAGTTCAACGTTTGCGACTTTAGTAATTACGTCTTTGAAATGACCTTCTCGCCAAGCTTCCGTAGGATGTTGCATCATCGCGAGAACCGCGTTGTCATATTCCTCGTATTTGTCATACAAAAATACCAGCTCGGCCCACAGATGTGCTTGTTCCGCCGCACGTAGCACCTAAAGTAAATAAATCATTTTCCCTTAAGTAATTAGCGAATCTCTTAAGTAATTAGCAATCGGGTCGAAACAAAACCTACCTTCGGTATATTGACACGCGACCAGAAAAGTTCCAAGTGTTCCCTCATTCGTTGAGGTTTGTATTTACTATAGAGAATAGCCAGTTCGGTAAACATTCCCATATGAGCTCGTTCAAGTCCTAAAGCAGCCTCGAGAAGGTTAATAAGTTCCTCAAAGTGTCCGCGATCCTGATAGTAATTGATCAGATCTTCCAGTTCGTCCGCGTGTACGACTATGTGCAGGCCGCACATTTGGGCTAAACGAAATTCACCGCTATCTACGCAAGCGAAACAAACTTCCTTCCAAGTGCGCGTCGAGTTGGCTTTGCGCGCACTATCGACGGCGCCTTGAAATTCCTTCAGATGAACGAGCGTTATTGCCAGTCGCGCAAAGTTCGATACGTTGTTGTAGAGGAGCTTTGCGGCATCGTACATCTTATCGTCGAAACATCTATCGCCGATCTATAAGAAAGAAGAAGAATAGATTCAACGGAAATCTCTCAAATTGCTTTCGCGAATACGAATGATTCTTTTTACCTTCTGTATATCAGCGTGATTCGGGCCAGATATAAATTCCTCGAGATCCGCAAGTCTATTGGTTCGCGCGTACGCATATATCAGTTCGCTCTCGATGAAGGATTCGCGTGCCTTTTTACGAGCCATTTGGAGATAGCGGACCAAGTCTTCCCAATGTGAAGTCCGATGCGCGGTTTCGACTACGTCTACATACGCTGACGGATCGTCTGCTTTAATAAAGCTGTCGATTGCTTCCTTGACCAAACCCTGCTGTAATTGAGCCCTTGCGAGTTGTGACCATACTGGCGACTCGTTGCATCTATAACGCGTAAAACAGTCTGTTTATGTGTATTGTATAAACACCAAGAAAATATATATACATGCATACACACATATATCGTATACCTTTCTGCAAATTCATAAGCTCTGTCCAAGTTGCCGACCTGCTCAATTAGAACCTGGATAGCTGACGTGTTGACGTCAAACTTTTTGAAGATAGCAAATGCTTCCTCGTAAAGCTCATTGTTAATGGCAATATTGGCAATATCCGGAGCGTCATAATTATCTAAACGATTAATATACTCCATAACACGTGTACGATCGGCCTTGATGGCCGTTAGTATTAGAAGATTCTGCAAGTTACGATGATCGCTGAAAACACTGCTGTCCAGCACAATCTTTTCGAGAAGTTCGATCAGTTCGTTAGGCAGATCAGCAGTCATGAAAGCTTTGACAGTAACCGATATATCTTCGGGATCTTGTGTCTCGGATAACGCCGTCTGAACAACTTGATCGATCAACGGTCGCTTGTACGGATTGCTCTCTAAAAGCACTTCCGCCCAGAGATCGGGATCTCTGCGTCTCACTAGGTATCTCGCCTCGCTCTTGAACAAACTATTCTCGTTACACACGCTTATCAGTTCGCGATCACATTGACCGCGCTCGTATGCGATGCAAGCCAAATGAGGATCGCGTTTCTCGCAATACTTGCCAACGACTCTGCTGTCGTAAAATTGATTCTCTTTGAGAAATCTTTCAGGATTGTTGTTGCTGTCAATGTAAATCTTGGCTAGTGCGTTGTGCGTAGCAGGCTCTACGCAGCCCTCATGAACGCGAGATTCCAACCACGGTAGCAAGAGCTTCAGCCGATTTCTCTTCTCGACCTCCTCGACCAATTCGTCAGTGGAAAATTGTCCGCGCACCACCAGTATCAAGTTCTTAATGATATCCTCCGAGCAGTCAACGTCCAACAGACCGCCCACGACAACGGGTAAACGCGACGGATTGACTTTCTGGACATATATCTCGATATATTTTTGCAAGTTATTGCGATAGAGATAGAGAACGAGATCGTGAACAAAATCGAATCGATCGCATACGATTATCAACGGCAATTGATCGGATAATTTCGCTTCCTTCAGAAAATTTTTGACGCGTTCCGGACTGTAACAGTTGCTCTCCCGACATATGCGTTCCACCTCCTTGATTTGACCGGTCTTGCACGCCGCCTGAATGTACTTGAAGTGCACTTCTTGATCCTGGCTGAAGTTTACAATAGAACCCAAAAAGTAAAACAGACCTTCGTAAGACTTGAAGCTTTCGAACAGATCTATCAGCGCTTTAGTCGTCAGCTGCTCGTGATACTTGGTCGCGATTTGTATGCAGATTTGCAAATTCTGTCTTATATTGGCTGTCATCATGGCTTTCAAGCATTCAAGGGAATCTTCTACGGACAAAGTCCCGAAGAAACCTACGAGCCAATCGGGAGAGAGCAAGTGTGTATGCACTACTGCTCTCTTAATGTCGTATAAATCGGTATAATGTTCGAGCGCGCGTTGCAGCAAGCCAGCCTTCTCGCACAATTGCGCGACATGAGCTCGATCGTAATGGGTAAACATCTGATTGCCTAATATAGCGTCAGCGACTTGCGGAGCGGACATTAAATTCATCTCTAAAAGACGGGTCTGTAAAGCACCTTCGCTCGGCCGATTGTTTTTGAGCGCGTCTAGCAGAAACGCCGTGCACTGCTGCACCATGTTTTGCTCCATAAATATATCGACGATTTGATTGATATCGGCCAACGGTTCGTCGTCTTGGACCAGCATCTGCGCGAATGCTACACCTTGATCGGGATTAATCCTCATGACGTTCCGCAAGAGAAATATATAATCGGGTGTATACGAGACCTTCTTGGCGTAGAGAACGATCTTTTGAAATTGGCCGGTCTCCGCGAAGCATTGGATAACCTTGTTGGGAACGTTAGCTCTCAGGTAGACGCTAAGCGCCAATGTAGGATCCGCTTGTTTTACTAGATCCCCCAATTCTTCGCTGCATTCCAGCTTATCTTCCTTCAGCCACTTCTCCAGCAGTTGTTTACGGTTCTGAACTAGTACAGGACGACATAGTTCCAACGATTCGTACTTGTTCAACTGTCCCTGATCCAAAAGAATACCGAAATATTGTAGAAGAGGAGATGTTTGGCCTTGAGTAGTCGGAACTTGTTGAAATCGTTGAATAGTCGCAGGTGTTCGAAGTATCCCTTTAGGAGCATTAGCTGCAACTTTTGCCGCCTCCGCGTACTGGCCATTTTGGAAAAGCATATTGAATTTCCTCACGAACAAGTCCTCGGCTCCCGATAAGTTGTTTCTCACGGCCATTCTTAATGCCAATTCCGAATTCTGTAACACTCCGTTGATGTATGGGATTATGTTCTCTTCGTCCACGGAAACGGATAAGACTTGACCCTTTCGATTTACTCCTATTATACCACCGGAGGCTTCGTGTGGGGCAGTGACAAAGATAGTCTCTCCCGAGATACGATTCATAAATATACAGGTCGCCGACTCGATATCGTACATATGTATATAACCGTATTTTGTGATTAAATATATGACATCGTACTTGGAGCTAACTTGCATAGCGACGGGGAAATCATTCCCGGCCTCAGGCGGAAAGAATACATCCACCGCTTTCTTCGGAAACGGATGGTTACCGGCGGGCGGTTGACCCACTTCGATGATATGAAGCTTCGCTCCTTGGACTGTCCTAACGGCGAAACAAAACAGATTGCTGGGTTCTGCATTTCCTTCCATCTTGAATTGAGCGAAGGAGGCAGCGTGCCCCTCGATCGGTTGCGAGCATTTCCGTTCCACGGAGTAAAGCTGCATAGCGCCGACCACTCTGTTATGCTGCGCCGAAATACCGATCAATAACAGCCACGTTTGTTTCGGATCTGTTCTGTAATTGATAATCTGGCAACCGTTTAACGACGAGTGACGTTCGAACATTTTATTCGGCGTCGAATCGCCCTCCATGGACCAGTGATACACCGCAGTTTCTGTTACTAATGCCAATGTGTTTAGTGATATCCATTTCCAAAAGACTACATCCTCCGTCATTGTATGAGCTTTCATTTTTGACTTCATTTCAATGTTAAAAATCTGAAGTGTCTTCATAGCTAATCAAACAAAAACAGATATTTATCTCTTGTGGTAAATTTTATTTACATATTTTCATTCTTCTAATATTTTCATTGCTATAAAAAGAATTACACACACAATGCAGACTTTTTTTTTTAAGAAAAATCATACAAATTAATACATTTTATTTTTCGAACTACTAACGCAAAATTAATCTTCATAAGTTTTATTTCATATTGCTGAAGACTCTTTCCTAAATTATCAATCTTTCCTATGTGTGCACATACCTTTCAAAGCGATGACTTTACTAGCTGGATTCATAATTGCAGAATCAGCAGATATTGGTCTTCTGATAGGATTGGCAGAATCGTTCATATCGATAATAACTACCTGGGCAGTGTCACCAACCTTTTCTCTAACACAAATGAATTTATCAGATTCCATAGTAAGCGTATTAAAGCTGACATTACTGGCATTAATTCCCACAGCTGTAAGCTATAAATATAAGAAATAACAGATAAATAATGCTTCTTTTTTTCATATTTTTCAAGCTCCTATAATCATTTCTGTGCACAATCAAGGATATATATTGTGAACTAAGTATATAGCCAATTTTATATCATTTATCCTCTGGGAAAGAACTCTTTATTGTCAAAGTAATTTTATTAATAATGATTTTTTACATATAACTATCTCAAAGCCATTGAGATGTCTATTAGAGACAGTATATCAACTTATATTATTCTCTAATAGTAAATGAGTCATATTGTACTGTGCTGATTACGTAAATATGCTGTTACTAATATAACCACAAAATTGCAATAAAATATAAAGTTAACTTTATAATGTCATAACAACAATATCTTAATGTTAATGCAATAGTTATATGTTGCTAAATGCATTTCTACAAAAAAAAAAAATATATAAAGTATTTATTGTAATAAATGTACTACTTGTAACACGCAGGATTTATATCTTAAAAAATTATTTTTTATATTTAACAAGAAAAATTAATATTAATACGAAAATTTGGAAATCGTGGAATAACGGATGGGAAAAAGAGGAAAAAGAGAATATTCGATAAGAAATGTTAAGTTTCGGTAAAAGCGGAAGCAAGGGGCGTATGCGCCGACGATAGATCCACGATAATCTTGAACCCATCATTCGTTGATGAAAAGACAAGTACGTAATTCGATTTGTCCGCTTTATCCGTGATACACGTCAATTGAGCGTGTATCGGGGATGATTAACCTGTGCCACGAAATTCGCCGTACGAGCGCAGCTGCGAACGCACGAGCCATTTAACGGGCCGAGTAATGTCATTGAATCATACGCGAGGTGTACGAGGTCATCGGGACTGTCAAAGTAACGTCAAACGCGAGAAATTGCACTTCCGTTGGAAAAGAACACAGACGAGTATGCCGTCGATATACGATTCGAAACGAGGAAGAGTTAGCCTCGCGTAAAGCGATCGCTGAGAAAATGTCCGAGAAAGGGAAAAAAAAAAAAGGCTGATATAGATCCTAGGATCGCGTTAGAGTGACGAGTCTCCGTTTCTCGTCCTCGAGAGAAATACCTTAGCGAGGAAATATAGATGACGTACCTGAAGGTGTTCTTGGAACCTTATGGGTAGTAGCTGCGTCATTTTTGCCGAAATATATTCGAAAAAATCTCCAAGAGAGAGATTTTTTTTAGCCGCTTCTCTTCTTCGACGGATCGATCAGCCGTACGGCCAACGCAAACCTCCCGACTGCAATCTACTTACGACCTATTCCCGGTTATCGTGCGCCTTTTATCCCCGAATGCTCGGTATCAATCATTAAAAGCGCAAAACCAACTGACTGGAGAGCGAATGCTACTCGCCGCTGACACCCATCATGGCCGCCAACGCCGCCCCTCTATCTCGAAATAGTTCCCGCGTATGAAATTTCTTGGCGGTTCTTCGCGGTTTAACCGCACCTCGCGTTACACAAGTCACACTATAAATATATATCGTCGATTAATTGTTAATTAATATCGTTATTCTTTCTCTCTTTCTTGCACAATTAGTGTGAGATCGTGTTGACGCCGAACTCTACGAGAGCCTCGACACTAGCGGAAGAATACAGGCGCGATTTGACACGATTGGATTCAGTGGTAAATCTCGCGCATCACCCCCTTCCCTTCCCCTGCTCCGCTACGAATGAGACTGCAACGGCATGTTCCATATACACAATAGATTAGAGAAATTCCCTTCTCTTTGCCTCTAATTATAATTTTTTTTCTGTTAAGTACTCTAAAGGTTATCATCGTTGCATAAAATTTTATGAATATTAACGCATTACTGCTCACAATTAAAGAAACATGAAATATTATCTCAGGAGAGGGCAGACACACAGAGATTAAATTTTTAATGTAAAATATGCTTTATTCTCCAGCAGTAGTATTAATTTTGTTTAATTTGTACATTTTATACAATATTTTGTTGTTACCATTTATACCACTGCCACAGAATGTAGCATGCTTTCTTTTGGTGACGATAAAAAAAGAAGACGTTTTTAGTCAAACAGGCCAAAGCCCATGTCATCGTCCTCAGATTCAGATTCTTCTTTAGCAGGCTTCTTTTCCTCTGTTAAAATAAAAATTATTTGTATTAGTAATATTATTCTAAAGTATAAATATATTAATACTACTATTTGTATTACTACAAATAGTAATGTTAGACTTTTAAAATTAGTGCAGAAATAAATGTACCTTTCTTTTCTTCAACAGGAGCTGCAGCGGCAGGAGCTGCAGCGGCACCCGCAGCAGCTGCTCCGCCAACTGGCATAGACGACAATTTTTCCCTGCCTAAAATCACACAATTATATTTAGTTTTTCTTATAGAAAAATAGCATATACATTCTTTTAAGTAGATAATAAGAGAATGTTGCAAAAAAATATGTCGACATACCCTTGGCGATCAATTCATCGATACTCTTTCCATTCAATTCTGAAATGACCTTTTTTAGTTTTTCGGCATCTGTTTCGATTCCGACCGATGATAAAATCTTTTCAATGTCATTTTGGCTTGGCGAGGCTTTGCCTCCCAAAACAGCCAACATATAAGCGGCCACGTAACGCATTCTGCAAAATGTAGATGTCTATTAAAATACTAATAGAATTAATTTAACATAATTATTCTAAATGCTAATTATGCTCAGTACAAATTATATATCATCACAAACATTCAGTCGAAAGATGGTGAGTAAATCATCATGAAAGAATAAATTCTATGTGTATCTAAAATTACCAAGTGTTATATATATTGGTTTTGTATATAAAGTAGCATTCGCGTGAAACGTGATAATTGATATATATATATATTTCGTATTTTATATGTAAAGACACACACATGTATCTACCAAAATATATTTATATTTAAACGGTTTAACCTATTGTATTTGGTGTGTGTGAGAGAAATCGAGTTTTTTATATCAAATGTTTTTATCATTTTTTCAGAAAAATATAAAGAAAAAAAGTAGAAAACAACGATTAGATGTGACTTTGCATATATTTATACTATTTTAACACAACTGAGTTGCGACGCAACTGGAGACATCCAACGATACGACGAATTATAAAAAGCAATCGGGCAAATACGTTAATTATTTCAATTCATCAATGTTCGAATAATTCAAAATAGGAAATATTATTTTCTTATATAAATTCGAATATACCAAAACTGTACCTTTAAGTCTTACGACACGAAACGTGGACTTCGCCAATAGAGCAATGAACAACGTGCGCGAGCTGGCAGCTGGCACCGGAAGAACACCGCAAGAAACTACGAACTACAAAGTGCTGCAAGGAACTGAGAGAAATTAATGCGAAGATATGAAGGATACATTTCATCTGGTATTACAAATTCGAAGCGTCTGATTGGACGAAAGGAACGAAAATTTCCTTGTTATCTCACCGCTATGTCGCGCATGCGCGAAAAATGGCGCCCATTTAGTAACACTGTTCCGTCTATAAATTTTATACGTTTATGGTCACGCTAATTTCTCTCGAGGTCTCGAGGTGTCTTCCGTACTGTTCTTCCGGTGCCAGCTTATGCAAAGTGCGTTCGAAAATCCTACTGAAAACTTAAATACCCCCGTGGGGTACAGTATCATTTAATTGGAATTTAATAAACAATAAATAGTAAATGTGTGAAAGTATCAATTTTTATTCGATTTTGTATACTCTTTTATTGCTGCGCATGCTCGTCGCCAGAATTTCATCAGTATGACAGATTTCTTAACCTTCAAAAGTGGCACGCTTAATAACTCTTTTTTTAACGCTTAATAACTTTTTTTTTACGCTATCGAGCGACGATTTTTATTTTTCAAACCTTTGTTTTTATTTAAAAAGGCATCGATTAAATGTATTTTTATCAAAATCTAAGTAGAGCGGGTTATTCTATAAACATTCACCCTAATGTTTTTTAATTTTTAACTTTAGATTGTACCTATCTTTTCTCTGTAATGGTTTTATAACTGATTCTTCTTATTTCTTAATTGTGGCCATTTGTTTAGATGATTTTATAGATTTTCATACCACTCTTTTTTTTATCTATTAATTTGTTTGCGTTAAAGAATAATGTGCCTTTTTCTATTCAAATTTTTTTGAGATTCTTGTTACATTCATATTTCAAACATTTCTTGTTTTGTGTTTACTCTACAATTGATGCATTTCATATCTTTTTTACACCTCTTCTGGACCATTTCTCTGCATATTATATACATTTTTCCTTTTTTTATAGAAACATTTCCAGATGGCCAAACGTGTTATAATATTGTATAACATCTTATATATATAGTTTCATTTGTTGTAAAAATATATTATATTTTGTAATTCTAACTATATATTCTATGGTTATAATTATAGATGTAGTGAACATAGTAATTACATCAGTAATTATATCTATAAAAAGCCATTAAACAATGTATTGAGAATTTATTGTTGAGATTATATAAAAAAAATACTCAAGATGTAAAAAAATAATACTTTACATAAGTATAGAGAAACTTATCATAGTTTATCTTTTTTCAGATATTCTTCGTATTATGGGATTAATTATAATAAAATTTTTGAAAATATATATCTTGGATACCACACCTTTCCCCCTTCCTATACACACACACACACACGAAGAAAAGAAAGCTTTTGTATATATTAATCAAGTAGAAAATTGTGTATTTGTTTTAATATCTTATATACAATATTACAAAGATATAGATTATCAATCAATATCCTAACTATTTAGATATCCTAACCATTGTTCATGTTTAATGCCATTGTAATACTTAATGAATAATTTTTAATGTTTAATGTGTAATTGTTTAAATATATGTAACTATTATAAGCTAATATACTCTAAGGTTGGTATGAAACCGAATGTCAAATGCACACGTAACATTCAAATATTATTGAAATAATTGCGTGTTTTTTTTTAAGTATTTCTTTTTATAAATTATATACGAAAATATAACAAAAAATGCAATATATAAAATCTACAGAAACTAATATTATCGAAGTCAAGTGTGTTGTAACAGACTTAAAAATCCATAAGTAAAAATATTCCATAAAAACGATACAGAGAGAGAGGAAAGTCAGAAAGATATATTAATCTAAGAAAGAACATTAAGTCTATTGTTCCACCTTGAATAGATAATGCTGAGAATTAAACAGCATTAGCATATATATTTCGAATACTGTTAGTGCATTAGTGAAGTATACATATATGTATATGTATATATATATATTTTTTATTATATAATTAATTTGAATCTTTCACTCCAGATATACCAATTCATTGCTCTTTTTAATGTATGTATATATATATATATTTATTTCAGTTATACTATATTCATAGATATAATATATTTGTTCATTTATTTGTTGGCTTGGTTCGAGTATATGAACAAACAATTCTAGGATAACTAGCAAATAACTATATTTTATAGTTGTTTAACACATTTTTAAATATGTAAGAGAGTGCAAAGTATACAAAATGTTCCCTGTAAAATAATTCAGTTTACTAGAACAAACATTTTGACAAGATATCATCGAAATAGATAAACAGACATGCACTAACAGAATTCAAAATAAATATAATGTTCAATTCCCTTGTATGGTTTACTCTCTTGTCCACAAACAAAATAGTAGTTTAGTAGTTCTTATTCTAGTTTATATGTACATTATTTCATTATCACTATCTCTGTGTGTGTCTAGTTTTCAGTAAAATTTAATTTATCCTCTTCGTCAAATATTGATCCATCATCAGACAATTCGGGTTCCTTGTTCATCAAAATGTACTTGGCTTGCGCGTTACAGTCACGTTCCTTTTTATGCGATTTTTTAATGGAAATCGTATGCAACAACTTGACAAAGTTCGTTGCGTTTAAATCATTTGGAGGTGTTGTATTCAGTTCTGATTTTTTCGCGGTTTTTACATCAATATAGTCTCTTGCTCGGCTTGTAGATGGTTGAAGATCGTTGTAAATAATTTCTTCATAGCATTTGCTCTTCTCCTTCTCTTCATCACGCGTATTACTGCACGTTCCCGTTTTGGCACAATCATTATCAACATCCATAAGTTTTAAGGACGTATGTTGTTTCAACATACTTGTAAAATTAACATTTCTAGTTTTTTCGGAATATGATTCTTCCTTCCACAAAATTGGTCTCTTGCATATACCGCGACTATGCTTATCTTTCTTATGTGATTTTTTAATAGAATCTATATTACAAAGTAATTCTGTCGTTGACATATTTATCGGAGTTGATCTACCATTTTTGTCTTTCAGATCTGCAACATCCGCTGATCCATCGCTCGAAACAGATGTATTAATTTCAAGTTTTTTAGTGTTAGCATATGTAAGATCTTCGCTTTCTCTTGGTTTTTTTAAACAACGTGCGACTGGCGTCGTACATCTGAAACAATCGATTTCTTTTGATGTAATTTGTGCAGGTTTATCATGTTCCTGCGATATTTCGTCTGCACAAACACTATTTGTAACTGTAAACTGACTTGTTGACATTACTTTTCTGGTAGGAGTATAAATTTTAAATTCATCATTTGTATTGTTACATCTCAAAGATGGTGATTTGGAAGAATATAATAATTTGCGTACACCGTTTTCAAAGGATACATTCATCGACTTTTTTTTCTTTTTGGGTGACACATCAAGAGATTCATTTACCTCAAATGATTCATTCCTATGTAAAGTTTTACTAGTATTTCTTTCTTCATATTTATTATCTTGTAATGAATTGTCATATTTTTTACGATACTCATGGTGATATTTATGGCATTTAGCAAGACCGGAAATTCTTTTGCTGTACTTGTCTTTTTTGTGTGACTTTTTAACTGATTTAAAATCAGATAGTAAGAGTCTGCTTGAATTAATGTTTTCAGGTGTGCTCGGCCGATCAGCATTCTGCGAGCTTAAGGCGCAAACTGCAACAGTTGCTTCATTTTTAACATCTTTACACTGATCATCATTAAAAATATTTTGAACTGATACTTCAGATTGTGCTGTTTCTATTTTCTGGTAGAGAATCTTGGCTTTTGATGAAGTTTTTCTATTTTCATGTTTAATCTTCTTATGCGATTTTTTAATCGATTCCGTAAATATATGCTCTATAATATTTATGTTATTTTCAGGTGTAGTCGCTCTATTATAATTTTGAGAAACAGTTGAATTGTGTTCTGAAGATATTGCTCTGTTCTCATTCATTACATTGACATTACAAATACTTGAAGATTCTTTTTGCGAGGATGGCCGACATGTATTCTTATCGTAGATATTTTGCGCAGAATGGTCTTTTTTATTGTCATAATTTGTGAGATGTGTGCTGTCTCTATGTTGCATATTTTCTTCACATCTCTCACAATCGCTCGAATCCATGTCCTGTATTTTATCATCTTCTATTTCGTTCAACATGTTCATCAAAAAATTCTTTTTCCTTGACGAGGTTTTTCGCTGTGCACTGTGCTTAATAACTCTAGACTCAGAAAGTTCATCGTCTGAATCATAAATAAGTGTTTTCTTAACAGTTTTGTTTTTTTTATGAGATTCTTTTACAGAAGCCTTACTACAGCTAGGAATTTCGGATATATCCATTGCTATTGATTCCAAATTTGTATATATGTCTTTGTTTTGGGCAGGAACATTTTTTTGTTGTGTAAATGACCGTTCTTCATGACCATATATCTTCTCCTGTTAGAATGGAAATGTTAATGTATCAGTTACAAAATTATAAATATGTAATGCCTCAGAATTGCTAGAAACATGGATTATTTAAGAAATTTAAAATTAATTTTTCTTTAGAAAATGTAAATTTCAAAAAGCTTATTTTCCACACACACATATTTTCTAAAATATTTCCCAAATTTCAACATTTGACATCAACAATAATTTAGATTATCTAAAGTAAGGAATATATGTAGAAGTATTAATTAATAATAAAAACAGATCGTGACTTCTTTCTATGAATTACAAGATTGCATGTGTCAATTATTGCTGCTCATGATATACAATATAATAATTGAAATGAAAAAATACATATTGTCATGCATGTGTAATTATAAAAATACATGTTGTATAAAATGTTGCTCAATATATCGATTTCTGAGAAGAAATTATAAAATATTTACATTTATATACCTAATTTTACCAAAGTGATAATTGAATGTACAAAGTTGTAGCAACATATATATATATATATTTATATTCACACAAAATAGTTTAAAAACGAAAAAATGGAAGAGGAAAGAAGACTGCAATATTGCATAAACTATATAATACCTTTTTGTGGCTCTTCTTGATAGCACTCATACTTTCTGGGATTAAATGCATCATGTTGTCAGGTGTATGTGACCTGTTATGTTCATCCTGATTGAATTCCTGGGACAAATTCCTGGGTGTACTTGCAACTATATTACAGCTAAGTGCTCTTGATCTATTCTGTCGCTTGAAGGATTGTAAATCAGGTGTTTGTGATATGTGTACGATGTTGTCGATTTTTTCTTTGAGATTGCTTCGTAGCGACGATGTAGAACAGGATGATGATCCTGACCTGTTCATATTTTCTTCTGTATTAATCCTTTTACTGCTCGACATTTTAGCAATTTTTCGATTTTGTTGAGGCGTTTGATTCTGATTTTCATCAATTGACTCCAAAGATGCAACTAACATGCTGCTGGCGACTGAATCACTTGAACTTGAATCAAGCCTCAAGGATTTGTCTAATAATGATGACGATGTATCAGTAATTGAATCAGCAGGAGAACCCATATCAAAATTACTGGTCTTCTGTGGACTTGGAGATGAACCAAAATTCAATGACTTTTTTATATTCATGTTTCTGTGGTAAAACGAATCACGATTGAAACTAAGTGCTCTCATTATTTTAGCCGATCTAGATAAGTCTCGCAATGATTTGCCTGCATCAAAAGAATCTATGTCTAAATATGAACTTGAATATTTTAATAAATTATCTTTCCTTGGACTAATAATATCAAAGTTTAAGGATCTATTCATTCTATGGCGAAGTAAACTTGTATTTTTTAGTGGAACTGATTTACTGAGCACTCTGGATCTAAATCGTTGTTTCAAAAAGAATCTACTATTATCCAATGGAGTCAAATTTATAAACAATTTATGTTCCGATTCTGGATTCAGATTATTATCTTTATTGTCGCTATTCATCGTGTTTGATAATAACTGGTTCTCCAACATGATTATCTATATCCTTGGTTCAGTATATACGTAATGCATTTATGCCATACATAAACATAATAAAGACACACATGTATATGTATATATACATATAAATATATAATTATATCAAGTGGAGGATTATTGTGATAATCTTTTTATGAAGATTGTATATACATATTCCTTTTTTTGTAAGGATTTCTCTGTAATAAAAAAAAAAAAATTATTTATAAAAAGCAATGCACATAAATTATATTTGTTGTCTATATATAATTATTTAATCTAAACAACTTAATAATAAAAATAATAAAATAAAAGATATTTTTAATTACAATATATATTTTTATGTCATTAAAAGATCTGTTTCTATATGTCAACAATACTATTTGTTATATATGTCTATCGTTCTGTTCATTATTCTGTAAAATTTCTAATAGATATGCCTGAAAAATTTTAATAGAATAGATGCCTGAAAAATTTTAATAGAATACAATTCGCAACTATAAATTAGCACATGTTGCGAGTATGCGTGTGCGTATAGCATCAAGTTGAAAGAAAGAGATGAATAGAGCTAAAAAAAAAAAAAAAAAAAAAAAGGGGAAAAAAAAAGAAAAAGAGAAATGAAAAAGCACATGTTGCGAGTATGCGTGTGCGTATAGCATCAAGTTGAAAGAAAGAGATGAATAGAGCTAAAAAAAAAAAAAAAAGATAAGAAGGGGAAAAAGAAAGAAAGAGAGAAATGTAAATCAGAATATAATGCGCGCAGAGAAATAGAATATTTCGAAACGGCATATTCCAAAATATTTGCTTACTATTTTGGCCGCATGTGTAAGATCGACTCATCATCAATGGCTGCAGAGAAATAAATTCCAGTCAACAAATTATTCTCATAAATCACTCGAATGAGCGTCCTCGTCTCGTTCCACACAACTGTTGCGTTTTATTTTGAAACTTGAATATCAATTTATACAACGCAATGAATCCTCTTGCGATCAATTATGAAAACACAAGAAATCAAGACCACAAAACTGATCACCGTGTACGCAACGCAGGTCAGCTTCTTCCTACAGGATCCTATACGATCCTTGCGCACATCCTGTGATAGAATGGTAGCGAATAGGACAAATCCTACGCATGCGCAATAGAGTAAGCGGTATAAAAGCCTATTAGTTTCAGAGTTACCAATGTTTGAATGACTTTGATCGACCAATCAGAACAAAGCAAGTGCATATCTCTAATGACAAGTTGGTCGCATTTCAAGAGACAAATTTTCATAATATGAGAATCAAGCAAGAAAAAAAGCTTTGTGACAGATATGGGGACTTTTCTCTTTATAAAACAATTAAATTAAATTAATAGCGTTTTCGAATAAACGGGTTTTCATCAATTAATCACTATTTTACTATAAATTCAAGTCTTTTATTGGCAGAGACGATGCAATGACGTCATTAATCGCTAATCAAAACGATTAAATCTGCTACATTCAAAAACGCTATAAATTAAATTTTTGAACGCACTTCTGAATTATTGGACGCATTCAGCGGTTTCAACAGTTGGGTAGCAATCGAACGTGATTGGTTCTCACTTTTAAGGTGCCATTACATGGCAGCATCGAGCATCGATCGTCTGCGCAGAAATCATTGCGCAGGAATCTAAATGAGATAGATTCCAGCTTCTTGCGGCTAATATCATGTAAAGGCACCTTTAGAACCAACAAATCAACGTCGAGTGTTCACAAGACAGTTTGCTCGACCGTTGAGTGCGCTGAATGCGCCCATTATTGCCAATATGTTGCGCATGCGCGAGAAAAAGTGTCTTCTGAGAACAACACTGCGCCCATCTAGTATTAATTAATTCCACAGCCAAAAGACTCGGACACCCGAGGATTCTGCATTCTCCTCGGCTTTTTCAGCGTTTGTGCTTTGTTCTCTTCGGTAATCTTCGCCGACCGACAGCGACAAGTCCTCCCGCGATAAAGAGAGGAATCGCGCAAGTCGCGCACGACGTCTGATAATCGGACGGGTGTAGCCCGACGCCCTGGGCCCCTGGGAAACGATTAAGTGCCCAGACACACGGGTTTCATACTGGTGTGAACGTTAGTTCTACGGGTGACGCCGGCCGCCTTGGAGAGCCTCGGAGTCTCGAAATCTCCTAAGGCCCCACAGGCATAGTACGCGCGACCAAGGTAAGAGGCCCACGATGACACTCTCATTGTCAGCACGGGCAGGATACCGAAATGCAATTTATGCATCGTAAAAGAGAGGGAAAAAAACGTCACAATTATCCCCATCTCGCAGTCTCGATCGCAGTATCGACGCGCCGTCGTCGTCGTCGTCGTCGTCATCGTCTACCTAACCTCTTCTATGCTCTCTCTCGGAAGATGATATCTATGTTGTCTATCACGTTTTATTCACGAATAACGAGATAATAATGAGAAAGATGAATCGTCTGGATACAAACACATCTTTCATGCATATTTTATACCTCTTTTCATAAACAAAAATAAGAATTTACAAAATATGCTATGTAGAGTCTCTTTAACGTAATGTTACTTGATATTCAGTTGATGTGACAAATTATTCCTTTCTGTTGTTTATTAATTAAATATTACTGCAATCGTTACTGTTGAGATTCTATTGTTTTATAGCAATCATGTGCACATGACATAAACTTTTTTTTATACTTTATCAGCAATTAATGTTCATGAAAATGTTATCATAATTGCACATGGCAAAGTTTAATTCTGATTAAAGTGTAATATAAGAGGAAAGTATTGAAACATATAATTATATAAAGAATTTATAGTGTACTCTTTTTTTTAAAAAAAGCAATAAAGTATTTACAATCTATAATGTATAATATTTATTGAATTATATTTTGCCAGAGACAATAATTAGAATGTCGCTACTGGGACGTGCCATCATTGCACTTAAAGCTTTCTTCAAATTCTTTCTTTGTTTTTCAACTTGCCCCTAGTCCTTTCCTATTCTCTTTCTTTCTTCATAGGCCCAAAAGATATTCTTTCAGGTTGAAAGTTCGTTCGCTATAGTTTCTAGTGCAGTACAAAAACGGTTCGTGATTTATCGGTACTTTCTTAGTTTGTGTTGTGTTCAAGTTGAAAGTTTAAATCGACACTAAAAAGTTCCGCGCAAGAAAATCCGACAAAAAAAACAGTATGTATCGTATATGTGACAAGCAAAGTTCTCAAAGTTTATAAGTAATAAAGTATAAAAGTTTTTGATAAAAGAAAAGTTGTCAAAAGTTGTGACATAAAAAGTATGTTCGACACGATATGGATCGCGCGCGTTGTGCCATCAAGAGCGAATACTTCACAGGCTCTGATTGACACAGGTAAGCCCTGCGATGCTATTGATGCAGATTTTTCAGTGCTACACATTCGGTCGGTGAAACGCCTAAAAAAAAAAAAGACAATTAACTTACCAAGTAAGAGAGAAATTTGTGAATGGGTTACATTTAAAGATTTAATCAAAACAGTCCTGTTCCCGTTTGTCTAAAGTTGTCTGCTGTCTTTTAATAAACTCCATTATTTTACAGGCTGAAATAGTTTCAACAACTATGTCCGACTCTGGTACAGAGAGCACTTCCTCGGAAGGGTACGACGGAGATAGGAATCGACTTACTATCACGGATGAGGTGACATCGTCACGCTATTCGCATCATTCCTCGGGATCCGAACGACGAAAGTCTGCGGCGAGTTCTATGACGTCCGGGGGAAAGTCACCTCCTGGATCGCCATTATCAGGCGCGGACTCTAAATCGCCGAGATCCACTCCGTTATCACCGAAATCGCAACGATCCGGAATAATGTCTCCTAGTGAAGAAGGTTCTCCAAGATCGTTGCGTAGTTTATCGAAATCTTCACCGCCAATGTCACCGTCACCCCTGTCGCCAACATATCTCAATCCTGCATCGCCGACATATCGACCATACGAGTCACCAAAGTCTCACCATTCGGGAAACAACTTTCTCGAGTCACCTCGGTCGGACCGTAGCTCATCCCGATCTCCCATACAGGACAATGGATCATGTCTTTCTCCTCCGAACGATTCCAAATCTATGCATTTTGAAGATGCCGAATCGAAAGCATCTGATTTCGAAGTGGATACACAAAGGTCCGCTGATAACTCATTAAAATCATATTCATACAAAAATAGCGAATCCAGACAAAGTTCACCAAAATCGCCCAGATCGGGTCCCAGTTCTGTAAAGTCCTTGATATCGGCGAGGAGTTCACCAAAGTCGTTCAAATCTGGTCCAGCATCTCCCATGGATGATCAAGAATCGGATAAACATTCGCCAGCGCATTCAGGTCCTCGTTCTCCCGAAGAAGACGATGAAGAGAAAAACGGTTCATTTAACGAATTGGACGGCGAACAAATCTCGGATGGAGACATCGAGGATGAACCAGAGACCATGTCTAAATCTAAACCTACACCTATTACTCATGGCGAGGATTTATCGGATGTATCGGATCTTGAAAGCATAGATGGTCCTGAGGAATCTACTGAACAAAATACAGAAATACATAAGCCTCAAGAACAGGATGCGAAAAAAGAAATTGTTAACGATGAAGAAAATATAGAAAAAGAAGATAAAACTGCACCAGTTGGCTTGACGGAAGAAAGTGAACAACTAGACTTTGAAGCCGATGGTCAATGGAAAGACGAACGTGATGAAGGTAAATACATTATGGGAATTTAAAGAGTTTTAAATCAAATTTATTACTAATTTTAAAATTACACACATATATTTGAACATTATATTATGTTTGCGAAATATTATTATATTAAAGAAAAATCACATTATGTATCACTAAAATTACAATCATTGCAATTGATAAAATTATAGGTGAAACTGAAGCGTCAGGTACAAAAGAGATTAAAGAAAATACGGAAAAAGATAGAGACAAGGATAAAGACAAGGACAAAGTGAAGTCAAAAGAAACCATTGAAATGAATGATAAAGAAGAGGGAGAGGAGGGAGAAAAAGAAGAATCTGAATTAGAGGAAGGAGAGCTTAGCGATGGAGAAGATGCACGACCGGAGGAGACTGAACCGAGACCCGTGTGTCGTTTCTATAATCGGGGACAGTGTACGTGGGGAGTTAGCTGTAGATTTTTGCATCCAGGAGTAACGGATAAAGGTAATTACACTATGTTCGATATGGTGCGACCTATGGCATATCCGCCACACGCTGCCACGCCACACGAATATAGACCGCACATCGACAGACCGAATATTCGATCATTACCCGGTTATGGTGCTCCTGCACATACACCTAAAGTGGAAGAAACGCCAACTGAATCTGCCTGGGAACGTGGTCTGCGCCATGCTAAAGAGGTAAGTTATTATTAATTATTATTATAAAATAAAATTATTACTACGAAGTATTTTGTATATGTATAATTTTTTGTTGATAGAGAATTAGTATTTTTATAAACAATTATAGTAATATCTTAAGATCAAGTGTCTTAAAAGAAATTTATTTTTTCTAATTATTTAGATGATGCGTAAAGCGAATAAACGCAAGGAATCAGACATGGACTTTGAAGAGAAGAAAATGAACTTGAGTTTAGGACAGGATGAACTGGATAGAGAAGCAGGATATTACGTAAGACCTGCTAGTCCCGAGCCGCCGGTTGAAAGATGGCCACAACGCGAAGTACCACAACGTAGAGTACCATCGTCTAGACCTACGCCAGACAGATATGTCGACGAGCCTGAGGGATATTATCCTCCAACTGTGTCATCCGATTATTATAGGTGAGATATACAGAAACAATATTATAATCGTATAATTATAAGTTTTAAGAGAAAAAAAATTATTTTAAAAGCGATTATTATATCATACAATAATTATCATTAGTCGATCGGACCTGCCTATTTTTACCTTTATTTTCATTCACTAGGAGAGTGCACTATAAAGATTCTCGCGAGTATCGAGATCGTCTCGATTATCATGCGATTCCACGCGGCGCGACGTCAGCTTCTCCACCACCGCACGGTCGCGACCGAGAAAGGGAACGAGATCGTGAGCGCGACAGAGAGCGAGATTATTACGAGAAGTATGAGAAGAAACATAAACGGCCATCACGGGAGGTTATTGTAGAACGTATCCCGCCGACGAAACCTTGGCGGGAAGAGGAACCACCCCCTGTCGAAAGAGGCAGAGGCGATGAATGGGCGGATCCGTGGATGCGACGCAAGTCTCCGAGCACCGTGCGTCGCAATACGTCATCGCGCCGATCTCGCCGACAATCATACTCTTCGGGTTCATCCTATTCTTCAACGAGGTATTATTCGTATTTGATTGCGATTGATTATTTCTGTCTAAATATCAGTATTAAAGGAAAAAAAAGAGCGTTCTAAAACTATCAAAAAATTGTTATTTATTAAAGAGAGATAATTTATTGAGAATACATTCCATAATGATACTTTTTTTATGAAGAAATAATAGATGATAGAGAGAGGGGGAGAAGATTGTAAATGATGAATATTAATTGAAAACTGCATACACACACATATATTTTCCATTAACTATTTATTATAAATGTGTGTATGTAAACGCGCGCATTATATTTGTCATACTGGGTGTAACAAAAAAGTGGTTTAAACATTTGCTTATAATAATCGCTAAGCTAGATGAAAAATGCTTAATTAAAAATGATAAACAAAAGTTCGATAATCAATATCTTCAGAGTAAACTGGCGATATGAAAACAAAGGATTATTTTATTGTATTACTTCAATTCAATATAGTTAGAGAATAACTATATAAGCAACTGGAAATAAATTAAGGACTTTTTAAAGAATATGAAATCTTTTGAAAAAATATGATTTTATGTACTTGGCATCGCGACGCTACCGCGTCGCTTGATACAGAATAATATCAAGTGTGTATTGACATATAAGAATGATACATAGAATATCTCTTAGAAGAAATTCAAATAATAACATGACCAAAACTTATATATAATAATTTCTAATAATTTTTTGTTTTTATATTGTAATTAACAGATGCAGGGGGGGGGGGGGAACTTACATCAAAATGGAAAATTGCTGTGGAGATATTGATTTACGAACTATGAGTTCCCAAATTTTTAAATCACTTTTTTGTAATATCCAGTGTATAAGAAAAATGTATAAGATTATAATCTTTTTAGTTCTAGCCGTAGCTCGAGCCGTTCTAGCTACAGTTCTTACGACTCCCTATCCAGGTCCCGTTCACCATCACCTCCAGCTAGAACCCGTTCCACCGGCAAAAGCAAAAGTACTGTTATTACTTCACCACCCTCCAATCCTCCTGCTGTGACCGCAACTGCTCCTCAACGAGGCGCCATGCTAATGAATCCCCCTGCTCCATCTCCTCGCCCACCCAAAGGATCTATCTCTCCTACAACGGGTACTTTGCATCGACGGGCCGGATTGAATCCACCAGCTCCAAGCCCAGTCACCTCTCATCAGCGTCATCATGAAAAAGCCAGAGAGCAAAAAGCCGCTATGGCTGCGGCTGCTGTGGCCAAAATCATTAAAAGTCGCTCGAGATCTAGGTAAGCATGATTAATTATTAATTTATAGATTTAATACTGCTTAATACTGAAATATCATTATAAAAGTATTAAAATTTAATTGAATGACGTGATTACAAATAAGCATTACAACTGGTTCAATTAATTAACTTATTTTTATAATGTGTGCCTTTTTTCTTAATTTCTGTCGCAACTATTATGCGTCGTGAAGACAAAGAAAAAGAAGGGAGAAAAAAGCACATTCTAAATCGTTTCGCAGTAGTTCTGGATCGGAGAGCAGTGGAAGCAGCAGTGATTCGAGCGAATCAAGTTACTCGTCATCCTCCAGCGAGGCACGTAGAAGGAAAGGTTCAACACCGCCGATAACACGTAAAGATTCCAAAGGCATCGACGCTTTGAAGTTGAGCGGTGCGAAGCAACAGATTAAACTCACGCTGAAACCTGCGAGCAATACCACAGCAGTAAAAAAGATCGATCGTAGTGGGCTTATGGCAGGGAAAAAACGAGCTCTCGAGTCGCCGCCGTTAATCGACAGTAAAGCGCAAGTAGCCGCGGCGGCGGCCAAGGCCGCCAAAAAGGTTAGCTCGCGTCGTGAGGAGTTGTTGAAGCAATTGAAAGCCGTAGAAGACGCGATCGCGCGTAAAAGATCAAAGGTTTAAAGATCGATCGATGAATCTTCAGTTAAATACGTATGTACTAAACGTTTTCTAGATAGATTGTGTAATTAGCATCATCATCATCATCACAGAATAACGAGATATGCAAAGTATGTTCAATTGTGTTGCTATACACAAGCAAAAACACGTTCTCATTTTTAGAAAATACTGAATCGAACTTTTAATTATTCTTATTTTATTTCTTCACTAGAATTCTTTTGTTCTGTTTTTTTCTTAAATAAACATGTAAGCATATAAGTAGTACTGTACAGTCTCGCCCTGATTTTTGTTTTAATAACAGCTAAATGATTATTTTTATGTAAAATTTAAAAAAAGAAAAAAATACATTATGCAGTTTATATTATGTTTATGATTCATACCGCATAAATACAAAACATTTTGATTCTTGATGCACACATGATGCACATACATGCACACATAATGCAAAATTTATTATATTAAATATCAGTCAATTTTGAATTCCATTGATATATACATATACTCACGAAAAGAGTTGCACAATTGCGATAAATTACAACATTTCTGAAAAGACAAATCGACAAATCGACAAAGTGACATCAATCGATTGTAGAGTTCTCAGATTACAAGATCCATTTTTGCCTCGGTTACAAAATAGCAATTTTTTTTTTCTATTCCTCCGTAAACGGATAAGTCTCACATTTTATTGATACCGAAAGTCGAACCAGCTGACTTTATAAAATATCGATCACTCTCATTCCTGTAGCATTCTTATTTGCGGCCAACTGTCATGGACAATTTCTGTGTCTGACGTACAGCGATTGTAAAGTTACACAGCCGATCCCGAGTAACGATCTGATAACCGAGGGATGTTGTATAAATTGTCATGTCTGTATAAATATTTATTCTATATTTCACCTTTATTCTAACATAAAAGTATAGTATTAAAACTATCAAGTAGATTGTCGAAGATTCCCATGTTGCCAATTGTGAGAATTACTTTGCAATTGCGAATTTCACAGACTTATATATTAGAAATATATATACATATATAGAAGTCTGCGATAAACTCATATGCAAGATCTTTCATGAATGTTGCACTTTGTTACAAGAGACTATCGAAAACTACATTCTATATTGAATATAGAAAACGCTAATAAATCAGATTTCCATGAAGCAGACATTTGTTAGTAGAATCGAAAAAACAATGCTATAAATCAATACAATATAGTGCTATCATTTTCCATTAATGAGTGTAAGAGTACACAATTCAGCAAAGGATAAAATTGGTGTAACAAAAATAGCATTTTTGTTCCATTGTTATGAGATAGAGGTTTTTTAAGAAAGAAAACTAGCGACATTATATGATAACATAATTCAGAATGTAAGTCCAGAAATAAAGATATATATTTTCTTTTAATGAACTAGAGAAACATCGACAAGAACTCGATGTAAGTGACTAATGACCTGCGATATTAACGGAAGAATATGATTCCAAAAAAAATAGAAGAGTATACTATCTCTACTCTCTCTTTCTCGTAAATAAAGCGATTGTATCACGCGCGAGAAAGGAAGATTTCATAATGGAAACTATATATATTTTGTACTTTTCTTCCGTACATATAGTATGACATATAAACTATGCTAATTTCATGCCAAGCAGCCTGTTAACTTAAGAAACAAATGCTTTGTTAACAACAGACTTTATTAAATATAAGTTACAAAACAAAATCCAGAAGAGAGTATTATCAAAGACACCAACTCTCTCTTTGGTTCTAAACAGATTAAATTAACATGTGTTTTTTTAACAATCCGTACAGAAGCATCGATAAAGTGGACACATACTCTCATTTAAATATATTATTCTATAATTATAAATAACAACTTAAAAATACCTAATATAAGCCCGTCCCGTTTAAATGAGCTTGATTGAATCACATTTCAACAATGAGGATATTTTAATGCATGTGAACGTTTTGTCGTATGAAATCCAAGATTTAAGTACTTACGTATCGAAAAATAAAGCAAGGAATATATGTATACATATATGTGTAGGTGCTTTTGTATTACGTAGAATTTTTTAGATGACATTATATCTTATTACATTCAATCTTTGTACTCAAACCTTAAAAAGAAGAATCGAACGTTTGGATACTTACGTAAGTATCGTATATATACCGTGCGCATCCTATGTGTTCATCATCGGTATAATATTTCAATTGTTTAAATAGAGAAAAATGGAAATTTTATGCGAAACATACGACTGTAATGTATGATCGTTAACGTTATAAGCATCATCCAGATATTATTTCAAATGTTTGTAATTCTTGCATAAAAGATAATCCACTTTGCACCATCACTGAAGTATCAAGAGTCCCTCAAAACATATGCAAAGAACAACACATTCTCTTATGCTCTCGACGTGTCAAGATCCGATTGTCTGTTTGTTGGATTCGAATCCGCGGTTTCTTGCATCGTTCTGATCGGCAGGTACCGTTCAAAGTGGTACGTCTCGCCCTGGCGTTGAGCTCTGGATTCGTTTTTACCTCATTGTACTTGAAGAGACCATCGCCGGGGGCCGGCAAGCCGATCTTGGGCAGCTTGTACCACCATTTATATGTGACATACCACGTAATGACCGCGGCCACGCCGCCGAGAAATTTCTCGATCATGATATGATAGTAGAGCATCGTCGACACCAACATAATGTCCCACAGTAGTTGCTGCAGCGTCATCACCACGAAGAGACCGCGCAAATACGGTGTGAGTGCTCGATGCGCCTTCTTCAGGAACTCGAGATCGCCATCGGAGAGATTACGCAGCGGGCCGCGGCTCGTTTCGGACGGCGTGGATCGCGTGTGTTCCTCGCGCATTATCAGATCCTTAATGCCCTCCCATCCCACCAGGGAGGAACCTTCCTCGGCGAGGATCAGACTGGAATAGATCAGGATGAACGTGTGGCCGGATATGTCGAGACCGCTCCAGAATTTACCCGATTGCAGGCACCTCGACTTCGATTGCATCTGAATGTCGCGGGTACCCAGACACCTGCCGTAATTGGTCTCGATGTAATTGAACAGTTTCGTCCAGGCGAGCCAGGCAACGGTGGCGAGAAGGACACGTGCCAGGTGTCGCAGCAGGATCGGCCTACGACCGCAGCCCAGCGTGTGCGCCGTCAAGGCGACCCAGGGCACGGTTACAGACAGCAACCAGCCCCAGCCCCACTTGACAAAGTACTGATTCAGAGCATTGTCGGACCTGGAGAAGTAAGTACGTGGCATCACGATGAAGTCCGCGATCAGCGAGACCGCGAAGATCGTGCCGCAGTAGATCGCCACTTTGAGCCGAGTGTCAAACAGCAGTGACTTCTTGCATATATGTAGCAGCATGGTGATGAGGATGAGGCCGATGGAGCTCGGCGCCGCTGTCGGCCTAGTACCCCCGCGATCCTCCTGCTGAGTGAAACTCGGCCGAAAGTTCATCCGACTGGTCCCTGCATTTCCGGGTGACGTGTGGATGCTCCGTCGCTTGCCCGTTGCCATCCTGCTTCGTCGGATCCCGAATCCTAGGTTATCGATGCGTGCGATCCCCGATGTCGCCTAAAGACATTACACTGAATTAATCTTTTAGGTTAGGCGTAGGCGCATTACTTGTTCTAGGAGATGCTGGAAGATGTCCAATACGGCGCTGCTCCCGAAATCTTGCTCGTCGCCTCAAGTTGTTGGACTCGAGGTAAGATTTGCTTCGTCATCCACTGTTTGATCTACTCCCCTCTTCTTTACTCCGCATTACTATGCGTGCCATGGATGTTCTTTGCCCTCGGGTTCCTGTCCTAGTTTTTCTTCACGTATAGGATATTGTAAAAGCCTAAAACGTTTCGCGCTCGTTTACGTGGTCATGATTTGTCACGATAATGACACTCGATCATGTCATGCATGATCGACCGAATTGACAGGATTATCGACCGTTGCGCGTGTACCGACCGTGAAGGCAAACATGAACTTCCAAAGTTCGCCGCTAGATGGCGCGCGAAGTTGCGCAATCTGGTTGAGCGGAGCGCGGGGTACCGATTAGTTCACAACGGTCGGTTTTGAAACGCGGTCAATGGGTTCCGAGTTCCGGTCAGTTTCAGTAGATATACGTTCGCTGTCGTAACGTCGAGAGACGCGCGCAAATCTCTATTCGTTCTGTACGTAACGTCGACGCGAGCGCGACTCTCGTCTTCGTGCGCTTCAAGGACGAGAGCGAAGAGCTTGACAGAAAGAGAGAGAGAGAGAGATAGAGTGAGGGGGAACGTACGACACGCCGGGACGCGGAGCAGGACTCACGTCGGGAACGATCGCGTGCATAGATCGACCGAGTTTTACGACGCTTTGCTGGGAGCCGAGCGTTGCTGGAAGAGAAGACGCCAAAAGGAAAAAAAAAGTGACGGCGTAACGTCGCGCGACGATACCCGGAAGAGGTGAAGCAATCGAGGACGCCGTGCGGAGTAGAGAGCAGTAACAGGTGGAACGGTAATAACAATACAGTTGTTCGATTATCGCAACGTGTCGCGGTCGTCTTCGCGTCGTAGAAGCGTGCTACCGAGCTACCTGCAAGATTATTATAGTGTGTGTATGTGTGTGTACGTATGTATGTGAGGACACGTACACAGGCGAATTGTGCCTTTTTCATTCTCGGCTCTCCTAGTTTACATTCGTTTGCACGACCCTCTACGAATTGACACGACCTCGTTGACGCGACGCGACGCGACGCGCATCTAGTCGATAACCGTGTTAATTCGACGTGTACGTCACTCGTATCGTCTTTCTCTCTCATCTTGTGCGTGAGAACAGCGAGGGGCGTAGCTTCGTAGACTCGCGCGAGTATGTGAATGAGCGAAACTTTTTCACGACGTCTCGTATATTTCAATATAATCGCCAAAAAAAGAAAAAAAAAATTGTGCAGAGAACAATTCGATAAACATTTTTGCGTAAGTCTGTATTATTGCGCGTATCGGTCTATTGTTGCGTAAATGAGAATTTGTAGCGCTTTGATTGTTTACGTTTACATTGTAATTTTGTCATTAGACTGATTAGAAGCGATTAAGTCGCTTTCGTTACGTGTTTCTGTTCAACGCACATGCATGGCTGATACAACACGAATATATTATTGTAAAATTTTGAATTAATCCGAGAGAGATGACCGTATATATATTTTACCATTATAATTCCTGAAATACTTCTCTTTATAGGGCACAAGATTGATCGATACTTCCGCGAACTAGACGTAATTATTAATACTCGACGAATGGAACGACCAAATTCTTGAAAAATCGATTCTACGCGACATTCGGTATGGCGTCGCGTCAAGCGTTCATATATTGTTCACAGCAAATCTCTGTTAAATTTGACATTTCCCGTATCTCTCGGCGAGATAGCGATATTATGCGCGCGCGAATCTCGACGTTCCTCTACCCACGCGCGTTTAAGTAAACGCGATGCATTCCTTTTCGCAATGTTCACTTGCATGCGATCATTGACGTTTTCTTTTAATAGGAATAAACGGGTTTTTTATTTAATCTCGTGAATATTGTCGCGCGGTTTTAATTTATACCTCAAATCTCGAGTGGTCTAGAATCGCGAACAAATATATATATTAATATATATATAT